GTTCCTCGGGGTTGTACTCTGGGAACTCGCTCCAAAGCTCCCCACTTGTCGGCTCGTGCGAGGGGACAGCGGGAGCGATCGCTGGGGTCTCGGCCCTCGCAGGGATCGGGTCGGACTCTGACTGGGACTCGTCTCCGGCCAAAGGAGCTTCTTTCCTGGGGTCTGCGTAGACCCAACTGGTGCGAGGGTACCAGGCAACTGGCTCTCCCCTATCGGCTGGCCAGGAAACTGGAACAGACTGTGTTCCATCTGTACGGGTGGCAGCCACGGAGGCTCCGAGGCTAAGCTCTCCGGAATCCTCGTCGATATCATCTCTGGCCTTTCCCTTCCCGTATCTTCGCTTCTCTGCTCCCCAGTCGGTGTCTGACCACTTGTGTTGTGATCGTCCACTCGTGCTGTCTCCGGTATAGGTTGCATCCTCCTCTTCGTCCGGGTAGAGGTCGTTGAGGATGGTTTCGAGTCTGACCCTTTCGAGGTCAGTGAGCTCGTCGCCTTCGAACTCGGTATCAGAGCCTTCTTCGCCCTGGACCAAATGCCTGGGGCCTTGTCCTCTGGCTCCGTCGGTACTTGACTCGCCTTCGACTGGAGACTGGTCGAAGAGGCCTGGAAGGGGCGAGTCTCCTCTGTCGAGGAGTATGCCCCAGGTATCGGTGATGTCGACTGAGTCCTCGGACTCGGCGGTGGCGCTTCTGTAGGAGTCGGTGCTCGACTCTGAGGATCGCGAGCTGGGTCGCGACGATCCGTAAAGGGACCCTCCAGGTTCTCTGGGTGTGATGGGTCGGCCATCGTGAAGAGTTTGTTGCGAAGCGGCAGGAATGAAGATTACCGGCGGTGGATAGGCTGGGGTGGTCGGAACGTAGTGAAACGGTAGTTGTGCTCGTACTCGTCTCTGTTGGCGGCAGCACCGTTGGATGTAGTACAAGGAGGCGAACAAGAAAAAGGTTATAAAAAGCGTGGAGATTACGGGAATGGCGTCGGATAAGGGCATCCGTCCGAGGGCTTATTTTCTGAGATAGCCGGCAGAAAGAATGGACCATACAACGGATAAGGCAAGGATAGTGAGGGCGGCGAGTGTGGCGATGATCAGGTTGAGGTCGGTTTCGTAGTGAGAACCGGTCATCAACGGTGAGTCGTCGTCGTCAAAGGAGGGATCCATCAGTGTCAGCAGAATGACTGCCAACAGAGATGCTGAACGGATAGCGAGTTGGAAGGGATTTGTGGTGCCTTTAGACGAGAGGAAAGTATCCACCGTACAGCGCTACTAGCAGTCCAGCTAGGAGTGGTGCGGCAATACAAATTCGAATAAGGGCGAGGGTAAGGAACACAGTTACTAAGACTGCGATGATAGGGTCGTGGATAATGTTGGGTAAAACTCAGGCGATTACAGCGGCTTGAAGTAATAGGTCGAAGGGGGTAACCCAGAGGGCTACTGCGACAAGAAGGTGTATCGGCTGAATTTTGGATGAGTGCTTTTCCGTCGGTCCACCCATTGATACGCTAACAACCACAAGGTTGTCCTTTCGAACGTACAGCGGTGACCTCTCTGGTCAAGCAATAGGATCGTTTGTTAAGAGGGTTGGGCAGCGCTCTTTCTCGGAAGTGACGCTGAGCAACGTAGAGCGAGCTTCGGCTAAATGTTAGCCACTAACTCAGTACCAACTTAGATCAACCAAGGATCGCCACTCGCACTTCGGTGGACGATACACTTAGAGGTCAAAGTCGAGAACGAAAGCCAGGAGCAAGGACAGATAGTCACGAAGGATGGAGCTTTGAGACAGGTAGATTAAACCTTAGCCGAAGCTGGGGTTTAGACCAGCTGAGGCACTACTTAAATACACGATGCGTAGGCTAAAAATAGTACTGTGGGAATCGTCTGATGGGAATCGCACCATAGGGTAAGCAGAAATGCGTAAGAAAAAGAAAAAGAAAGAGAAAGAAATGAATAAACCGTAACATTAGGTGATTGTCACATATAATAATTCTTCTGTATATGTATTAAAATAGAATAACTAATATGTCTGAGATCTTATTACTATGTATAGTAGATATAAATAAATACAAATACTGATTATTATCATAACTGGAGTGTACCAGTCTTGTATTCCATACTAAGGCATTTATCGGCCTGAAGAAAGTGCTAACATCAGAACCAGTGCTGAAAATTCCAAGGTGGGATGGCAGTTATTTGATCGTTATCACAGATGACTGCAAAGAAGGTTTCATGGGTATCCTCACACAGCACTTTCAAATGGTCCTACCCAGTGGGAAAGTTGTTAAAAAGATACATCCCATCGCATTCGCTTTTAAAAGAACATCATCATCAGAGCAGAATTACAAACCTTTCCTATTGGAGTTCACTGCATTGAAGTTCTCCCTCAATAAGTTCTTGGACATCATCTGGGGGTATCCAGTTGAGATAGAGACTGATTGTCAGGCTCTATGCAACATGCTGATTAGTGAAAAAATAAATGCAGTCCATGCCAGGTGGAAAGATGGTATTCTGGTTCACCATATTGTTGATGTTCAACATGTGCCAGGCAAACTAAATGTCATGGCAGATGGCATGAGCAGAACCTGGGTGGGAGTACCACAAGAATCTGGAGATGGCAGTGAATGGACTGTCAGTGAAGATTGGGAGCACTCACATGGTCTCAGACATGATCTGTTCACAGTTAATCATCATGAGCCATCAGTGTTGTGAAAGAGATTCCACAACAAGCCAGTATTTCAACAGGTAGTGGAAGCTCTAGAGGACAACCAGATCACAGGAAATCTGTGGACAAAACAGTGTGCAAGGCACTAAGCTGTTAACTATGCAATAGAGAACAGAAAGCTCTGGCACTCAGGCATTGGACCAAGGGCACAACCAAGAGTAGAGTGTGTCACTAGAGAAGAGGCTGCTAGCCTAGCCTGCTTTGAATATGAGAAGGGAGGTCACTGGGGAAGAGACTCAGTCAAGATCACATTGCTCGACAGGATCTGCAGCCCAAAACTAGATAAATCCATTACAAAGGCTATCAAATCATGTTCTCAGTGCAAGAATTTTGGGGGTACTCACCTTCATTCATTACTGCAGCCCATCATGAGAAGGTACCCATTTGAACTGATAGTTGGGGATTATCTCTCACTCTCAAGTGGAAAAGGAGATGATCATACAATTGGGCTGTACCTTGACATGTTCTCACAACATGCATGGGCATTCAAATATAAAATAGCAGGGAGTGTGAAGACCACAAAAGATGGGCTACACAGCATCTTTTGTGGTTTCCTTCCACCAGAAACTTTCATGACAGATGGCAGGCTGCACTTCAAAAACCATGAAGTCAAAGATTTCTGCACAGAGTAGGGTGTAAAGCACCATGCCATCTCAGCATACTCCCCATGGGTGAATGGACTTGTGGAGGGCACAAACCATCTCCTGCTGCATGTTCTCAAGCAGTTGTGTGCTCCAGAGCTGGGGGAGGACCTGCTAGAAGGGTATAAATTTGCAGACTTACCAAAATCATGGCCAGATCATCTTGACAAGACCATTCATTGCTTGAACTCACAAATCCTGCCAGCACTGAAATACACACCAAAAGAGCTTCTATTGGGGATTGTTACAATTTTTCCATTTTATCTTTTCAGCGCTTGTCTTTATCTTATCAGTGCATCCAAGCACTAGGACTGTTCTCACATTGTCAATGCATGACCTACACATTGTTGCTGTGACACACAGATATTGTACGATTCCCTTTGTTACACACATGGTTACTGAATGATAGTAGTCTATTATTAGCATACTCAACATATATTTAAGTAGAGCCTCAGCTGGCCTAAACCCCAGCTTCAGCTAAGGTTTAATCTACCCAACTCAAAGCTCCTCACTCTGCAACTACCTAAGTCTAGTTACCTGCTCATATGACAGGCATTGCCTACACTGTGAATGATCCACTGAAGTGCGAGTGGTGTTCCCTTGTTTGACATTATTTATTGAGTTGGTGGCTAACATTTAGCTGAAGCTTGACCTTTACATCCCTCATCGTTTAACCACAGTGACCGATGCATATGCTCCTCTTTCTCTTAACCAAACCATCACCATTACTGTAGCCTTCGGGCAGTTCTGTGCAGGTGCCCTGTTGTACTGGATCAGGAGAATCTTCTCCTGTTGCTGATACAGAGAACACGCATGACTACCACTACAACCTATCCCTCATCTACCTGTTCCATACTACATACATCCATACCCCCACATCCTAGCCCCCTCACAACCAACCCTTCATGATGGAAGGCCCATCACTCCCATCCTGTCCTCCCACTCCAGTCGATCTGGATCAGTCGACATCGTGGAGTCCATACCAGAATCCAACCACTCAAGCGCAGGATTCACACCTTTCCATCATCATGCAGAGCTCCCAAGTGAGTCAGGAGAAGAAGAAAAAAGGGATTTTGTGGACTTTATCTGACGTGGTGGTACCATCGATGATCTCATCCCATCATCATGGACCAAAACAAACCCTGACCCCCATACCAGAAGCTTCTACCTCTCGGTGCTCCAAGCATATGAAGAGGCAGCCAACAGAGTCAACAACGATGGAGACTTAGATGGAAGATCTTACCATCCTCGATCCCCATCTCCAGCATCCTCCACTACAGTTTGAGCCTAGACCGCTTGACACAGAGTGGTACCAAGCCTCGGCATCCTTCTTGAGGGAGATGGACTCAAGAATTACAAAATCAGAACGATGGGCTCTCGACAGGTATCCCCACAAGCTGAGGCCCCTTCCCCCAAGCCCTACTCATGCCCTGGTTCCCCCCTCAGTGAAGACAAGTGATGACAAGCAGTCTGAGACTGGATCGAGGCCAACGATGACCCTCTCCCACTCCCTGACTGATCCTGCACCAACCCAGGCATCCCCACCTATCCCTTATACCATGGTCCCCTTAGACCAGTTTTGCTGACCCTTGGAAACTCCAAGTGACCTTTTGTTGCCGAGAACTGATGAGTCACAGAGGCCCACATGCTTGCCAGTCCTTTCATCCCATTCGAGCAACCTTGGACCAGGGTCCACCTCATGCTCATTGAGTCTGGGCTCAACATACAGTCTGCCTGGCTTCCCCCAGAAGTCAAGGCCCATCTGGAAGCAGGAAGAGAGGCAGCAGCATGCCAGCGTAAAGTCCAAGAGTGGGAACGTAATAAGTGGCCCCATGAGTTTGACAGTAGTGCCATACCTGACAAGAGGCCCAACCCCACATGGGTTGCAGATTCCAACCACCCCAGTGCCAACTTTGTATGAGTATGATATGGAGTACCTGAGCTGGAGATCATTGCTGCGTACAGAGGGCTCGGAACCACTGACTGAACCCATGTTACAGTACTTGAAGATGATGAAGCCTGCCACTATGCCGTGGCATACTCCCGCTCCTCAATTCCAAACCTCTATGCTGACAAAGCCACCTGTAGGAGAGTATTACAAGGAGATCCTGAGGCAGGTCCATCAGGTACTAGATAGGACCATCGAAATGGTCCTGGTACTGCTGTGGGGACTAACCTGGGATAAGCTATTCGATGCCATGGCTTATAGCATCCGCACAGACCCATAGTGGCAAATGACAGAGGCAGGAATAGATTATGTTAGCACTAGCAGAATCAATGACCAGTTCACAGCCATGAACATCATGATGGTAGAAACATATTGCTTAACAGCAAACATCTGGAACATGATTCATGCCAAGGACCTGAAGGAGCCCAGTGTCTCATACCAATGACTGGCACCAATGCCGAGGATGATGCCATATGGAGGAGTATGAGCCACCACACAAGGAGCTGACAAAGGGTGGGCAGAAGGTGATGCCACACCCAGAGATGCTTCCACCACCCAGAAGCTGTCCCAATCTCCTGTACCACCACCACTGCTGATTCCTCAGCACAATCAGCCAGGAGGATACCCGAGTCCTCATCACAATTGGTCACTAACATTGTTGCCAAGACCCCCAAATCCTCCGCTGCCACCAGTGCACTATGGACCACCACCGCCCATGCCGCCATGATACCAGATGGGTCCTGTGGATCCAAATCCTTGGAACAAGGTAAAACCCACCTTGGTGAAGGAACCCGATGTGTTTCATGGGAAGGCCAAGGAGTTACACCGGTTCTTTAACCAGTGTGAAACATACTTCTCCATGTTTGGAGAACATTTTGCCATGAACAAATGAGGTGATAACCTCTATTGCATAATCTTTGCCCAGGGATACTTCAAGGATGATGCCCAAGAGTGGTGGGACCAGCAGGAGCATGTGTACTGGGACCCTATACGAGGTCACTGGCGATACCCGAACTGGTTCGAATTCTGAGAATGAATAGAGAACAGGTTCCAGGAAGAGGCGGAAATGGCGATCAAGAAGCAGAAGTGGCAGAAGCTCTGACAGGCCGACTTCAAGTCTGCTGTCAAGTTTTTCACCAAATTCAAGCAGCTAGCTATAGAATGCAATGAGTATAGTGATGAGAAACAGATGTTCGAGACAGTTGAGAAGGCAGTACACCCCACCATCAAAAACACTATCATGCATGGGGACAATGAACATCCTACAACATATCAAGAGTGGAAATGGCGCATTGAGCACATTGACACCAATTATCAATACAACGTCACCCAGTCTGGGGGAAACCCCAATAAGTCCTCCCAGAACAACTCTGGTCAAGGCAATCAAGGGTCATCAGGAAAAGCCGGCAGCTCCAGGAATTCCAACGACAAGAAGGACTCATCAGGCATGATGTACGGTGGTCAAGGTCAGCTGATGGAGATAGACCAGCTAAAGAAAGACAGTCTATGCTTCAAGTGTGGACTGCCGAACCATATGGCATGAGACAACAAGTGTCCAGAGGACAAATCAAAGTGGAAAAAGATAAAGAGGCTGCTCCAAAAGAAAGCCAACACCACCAGGCTTAGGCAATTACTCGCAGAAGCAGAGAAGAAAGAAGGGCTGGCAGAGATGACAAAGATCAAGGAGGTAAAAGATGAGCCAGCAAAGAACTAAGCAGTTTATCTTCATCAGCTGGGGTTTCCATGGACAAGGGTACAAGCTCATCTGTCGCTGGTCGAACTTATGATACTTCTGTAGGTACATTGCATTCACAATATAATCATTTTTCTGCACTCAGTATCAAACCCATGGAACCAGAATCACAAAACAACAACAAGGTAGAAAGGATTTCCCTCGCCTCTTTGGAGGCAATGAACCTGGAGGGCCTAGTGCCAAAGGACGGTGTTGCTGCAGGCAGCACCATGCCCAAAACGAGTCAGTGTCTGCATGAAGCTGACAAACTGCTCAGGAAGGCTGGTGCAGAGCCAGCAGGGATGGTGGAGGCCTGTAGCATAACAGAGCTCCTGGATGAAGGTTTGACAGTAACCAACATCATCTCTGGAAGCAGGAGTGATGCCCAACCTTGAATCAAGCTTCCAGGAGGGCAGAAGACTCAAGACAGTGGGAGACCTGGTAAGACAGCTGATGAACAGACTCTAGTATCGCAGAATGCTATTGTGACAGAGAATGAGCATTCACAGCACGTGTCTGCCTCAAGAATGGTTGACCCTTGCATCGTCCTCAAGAATGATGGAGAGGTATGGATTTACCAGGTGCACCTTCCCAATTCCCATAATGGCACTGGGGGCTCGTGTCCCTCAGTGGGTGGGCAGGAGGGACCCTTATGTTCTTCCAAAAATGCAGTAACCATAGAAGAGGTCCTAGATGAGGAGGACAATTTCAGTTATCTACAGAGTTTGAAGAACTCTAAAAAATCTTCCCTGTGCAGGCCATCCCCAAGTGGAAAAGTCCCTAGTAGTGCAAGCAAAAAGGCCAGAGACTTAGTAACTGCAGAAGGACAAAGGGCCACAAAACCTGCAGCAAAAGGCAACCAGGAGAAGTCTCAGGTGCTGAAAGGATGCAAGTCTGAGTACTCACCAGCGGAGTACCCTGAATGACGGTGGATGCAACTGTTCAGTCCGGATTGGACTCGACACACACTTCGCTTAGCCAAAACTGCGAATGAGGCATGAGGGGTATTAAACAGATGGGTACATCCCCGTCATTTGACAGAAGTAAATGACGAATTAGTGGAGAGTCTGAAGGAGAAGGCAGACGAGACATATCCCAATCAGGAAGAAGCCCTAGAATGGTTAGACAACCTACAACACCCACTGCAGTACATATGAGGTGGTCGAGGACAAAGTGTCAACATTAAACTTCAACTCAAGACAGTCAACACCCTAGACACGTACAACATCACTGCCCTGGTAGACAGTGGATGCACAGGGAGTGCTATAGACTGCCAGTGGGTGAAGAGCCATTTCCTTAATACCTGAAAAGTGGCAAGATCCATGCCCGTTTATAACGCTGACAGTACCAGGAATAAAGGAGGAGACATCACAGAATATGCAGAAGTAAGGTTGTGCATAGGAGACCACAGCGAGTACATTGAATTAGCCATGGCAGACTTAGGCACCACCCTCATCTTCTTGGGATATGATTGGTTACAAAGACATAACCCTCTCATTGACTGGAGGACTGGAGCAGTAACCTTCGCCCATTGTAGCTGTCACAAAATTCCATTCTTGCTTCCTGATGCAGGACTGGACGCTAAGTGGGGTGAAGAATATGAGGAGGGAGACACAATATTAGTGATAGACTTCGAAGAAGCATTTCACATACAAGCCATGGGAAGCAAGTCCAATGAGTTGGCAGCCAAGGCTAACAAAAAGAAGAAGGAAAAGACGTTTGAAGAACTAGTACTGGAGCAGTATAGAGAATACAAGGATGTGTTCAACAAAGCCAATTTCGATGAGTTACCTGCTCGAAAACCATGGAACATGCCATTGAGCTTATTCCTAATGCCAATGCCAGTCTCAACTGTAAGGTATACCTGTTGAATCCTATCGAACAGAAGGAACTGGATAAATTCCTGGATGAGAACCTGTCCACAGGAAGGATCCAACCATCCAAATCCCCAATGGCATCACCATCCTTTTTCATCAAAAAGAAGGATGGCAAACTTTGACTGGTCCAGGATTACAGGAAGCTAAACGAGATGATGATTAAAAACCATTATCCCTTATCCTTAATCTTGGAACTGATGGACAAATTGAAGGGTGCCAAATACTTCTCCAAGATGGATGTGAGGTGGGGGTACAACAACATATGCATCAAAAAAGGAGATGAGTGGAAGGCAGCCTTCAGAACTAATCGAGGCTTGTACAAACCCTTGGTCATGTTCTTTGGACTCACCAACTCTCTGGCAACATTCCAATGGATGATGAACGATATCTTTAAAGACCTGATAGCAGAAGGAAAAGTAACTGTGTATCTGGATGACATCCTAGTCACCACCAAGGACAAAGCTGAACATTGAAGACTGGTGAAAGAGGTTCTCAAGCGATTGCATGAGAACAAGTTATTCCTGAAGGCAGAAAAGTGCGAGTTTGAGGTGGAAGAAATAGAGTATTTGGGAGTCATAATCAGTGAGGGATCTATTCGCATGGACCCCATCAAAATCGCTGGACTATTAGAATGGCCCACCCTGACAAAAAGGAGGGAATTACAATCTTTCTTAGGGTTCACCAACTTTTATCAATGGTTTATCTGAGACTATAGCAAAATAGTGAAGCCACTGACAAAGTTGACTGGAAACATACAGTGGACATGGGGAAAGGAGCAACAAGAAGCATTCAAGACAATAAAGGAGCGATTCAAGAGCAACATCGTCCTAGCAATACCATTAGATGAAGGAAAGTTTCAAGTGGAAGCAGATGCTAGTGAAGGAGCAATAGGCATGGTGTTGTCACAGGAGCAGAATGGAAAGTGAAGACCAGTAGCGTTCCTGTCAAAATCTCTCTGAGACTGAAAGGAATTATGAGATATACAACAAGGAATTGCTAGCAATAATGATTGCCTTAGAGGATTGGAGGCACTATCTGATGGGAGCATGTGAAGATTTTGAGATCTGGATGGATCATTCGAATCTTCAGTATTTCCACAAACCCCAGAAGCTCAATCGCCGACAAGCGTGATGGGTCACAGAGTTGGCAGAATACCAATTTATGCTACACCACAAACCAGGTGCTCAAAACTGAAAAGCAGATCTATTGAGTCAAAGAGAGGATCATGGACAAGAAAAGGAGGATAATAAGGATGTAATTGTGTTGAAACCGGAGCATTTCAGAGCACTGATAATACCAACCGAAGAAGAAGTACATGCCAAGATCCAGTGTTTCACCAAAAACCCTAGTAATTGGGACCAAGGAATAGTGATGTCGTTAAATCATGAAAAAGGAGTCAGCAAGAAGGACAAACTCCTATATTATGATGGACATATCTATATTCCAAAAAACTGAGAGCTATGAGGAGAAATCATAGCCACCAAGCATGATCATGAAACCACGGGACACCCAGGAATGGGGAAGACAAAGGAGTTAATACTCCATGACTACTGGTGGCCAAAGATGCGAAAAGATGTGGAAAAGTATGTCAAGGAATGTGAAACTTGTCAATGCGCAAAAACCAATACACACCAAAAGAAGGCACCATTGCACCCAAATGAAGTTCCAAAA